TCCAGGTATACAATCCAACAATTTTCAGTCAGGTCATCTGGACAGTTTCTTGTTTTTTTGAACATAAGTGATGAAGCCTTCTGGATGTAAGGTGAAATGTTTCAGCACAAAATAAAAAAGAAACTGTCCAGATGACCTGACTGAAAATTGTTGGAATGATATTGTTAATTTAAAATAGATTTGACTTTTAAAAGTCTAGTGTGAAATTGTAGAATAACAACTGGGTGTACTTTAGGAAGCAGACTGTAACTACAAAAATGTTAATCAAAACCAAAAGTGAAAGATAACTTGCAGGCATAAAGGTAGCTCCATAAACTATCATGTGAAAATTGGCCTATGCCATGATTTGTGCTTTTTTAATTTGTTCGTAGTTTTTTGTACTTTCAGGGTTATCTTTTTGGTATTGTTGTGTTTATGTTTGTAGTTATTCTGGTCTAGCTTCCTTGTATTGCCTGTACCATTTCTCATTCCACCTCAGCTTCCCCAATGCTTTTCCTGTCAGCCTGTCACGCTCACCTGTTCTCAGTCGGCAATCAACTCAGGTGCCTCCACCTTCAGAACCACCTGCTGCTCTATATATGCAGTTACTTCCACCTTCACTTCAGTTCTGTGTTGTTGGATTTTCATTCTACACTCCCCTGCGATGTTATCCTTTCATTTTGTTTAAGGTTTGTGCCATGTCCACCTCTTTGTTTTAGTAGTTAAATAAGTAAGTTAGCTGTTCAAGATCCTCGTGTCCAGTCTGTATTTTGTGTCCGAACCATCCTCAAACCCCGCTTGTATTGTCCACATGTCCCAAACAAAGGGCCCTGTGATTTCTATGAGATTTAAAACACAAACAGAATTGCAAAATTTGTCATATAAAACAATTAAACGATTTTTCTGTAAATTATGTAATTTTGTGGGATTTAAGTACATGTGATATGACAAATATGGGGATTTCCTAACAATCTAAGCGTTTTCCAGAATTTACAACAATGAAAGAACGACCTCACCGCTACAGCCTCCTGTTTTATGGGACAGCTCTCTTTCCCACAAACAGTTGTGGCAAAAACGTCCAGTACTTCCAAACATGTTGAGGTAATGCTTAGCACAAAGTTTTTAAGAGCATAAAAACATGCAAGCAATTTATTTGATCAGGCTTGTTTATGTAAATTGACCATTGAACCATACGAAATTATGTGACAAACAGGATCATGTCAAAAATAAAGGAAGCAAACTAATGTTTGAAAATCAGCACAAGGCTTTAATTTCACAAATATTTTGTGTGCTAGCCTATTAATGTTTAAAGTGATGTGTAGCGGAAGTTCAAAATGTAACTTTAACTTAAGAGACGAGCCACAAAGCACAACAGCACATGTGGGCCAATCCATCTCTTCTCTGACAGTTCTGTTTAGCATCAGGGTGTTTGGGCCTGTCACTGACATCCTGCAGAGACCATCCAGTCAATAAAAAGCAGGATATAGCAAACCGTTCCAATTGATTTTTATATTTTCAAGCAAATTGGAATCCATACAAACTCCTCTCATCCTGTGAGAAAAAACATCACAGGCCTGCTGTGGTGGAATGGCATTTAAAATACACAGATTACCACCAACAAACTGCTGTTTCTTCCATCCATCCATTATCTTTACCCGCTTCTTCCTTTCTGGATCTTGTCTACTTATTTCTGCAAGCATTGGCCCGACTTGCACCCATTATTTTTTATAGTTTTCAACAGCACTGCTATGCTCCCCCCATAGACTGAACTCTAGTTTGACAGGGTACACAGTGTATCCAAAGGGCATGTTTGTAACAAACTGTGAAAGGAGTCAAACTGTGACCTCACTTAGCCTGAACAGAAACTCACACATGACAGATGGCAGCACAGAGATGACAACTTTTACTACTTCCATTGTGCATGAAGTCCTGTTTTAACTCTAGTGACCAACATCACCTTTGAATAAAAATCAAAGAGAGCAGGGTAGAGTCTTTAAAAACAAAATCAACATGTCAGCCAGTTTATAGATGCTCTCACACCTGATATTCTCAGGTGAATTTGGTCTGAACTAAGTTGCTGTTTGCGCATGTACTTCACACAGACGGTTTTATGCGGACAATAAAAATGTGCACGCAGGTCAGCAAAAAATGAGGCAGTGGCTATTACCTGTGTACACACTTTCCTACACTTACAATAAATACTTAAAAAGATTTGATGCTACAATTACACATTACGTCAGTCACATTTTACTTTAATATAAATGATCCACACTTACAGTATACAGCACCGTCCTAACCTCATCCAGGTTTTGCACCATACAATATGTTTCTCATTTACCTATTCACACACACACACTGCGAAAGTGCATTATATATTTACATTCTCTCTACAAACACAGTCCCTTGCTCTATCGCGGTTCGTTAATCGCGGACTCGCTCTATCGCGGTGTTTCAACATAAGATTGGACATGACACTCAATTGATTGATTGATGGATGAGTCGCACGTTCGGCATGGAATTTTATACTTAAAAAAAATTATTTTAAATTATTTAGTACCTGCTGCACATTTGTGCAGTCCACACTGCAGGATAAGCTTCCTGCTGCAGCTGATCAGCTGTTCTCCGTGCAGAACAGAGAAGTGGGTGTGGCCAAGAACGCACACAGGTGGCAAAGAGCAGTGTAGGCAGAGAGCTGAAATCATGACATTCTGTGCTCTTTTAGAGAGTTTAGA